TGCTGGGTTGGAAAATCTGAGTAGCACTTTCCTGTTTATTTCATTCCTGAATCTGTTTACGAATCGCCTAATCTTACACTGATCTTGAACTGGTCCAGCTTCCTTTTTACTCAAGGTTATTTTAAGAAATCAGTCAAAGCTAGTTAGATAACTTAGTTGTGTGCTTCAGGGTTAAGCTCTGGGAAGAAAACTTGTTTGTTCGCTTTATCAAAAAAAGTGTTGCTATTTCTGTTTTCAAAGCATTGTGAAATTCAAAACATTGTGAAATAACTTCCCTTTTTCCTTGGTTGCTTGGGATATAATTAGTAGGTTTAACCTGTTGTCCCAAAAGACATGCTGTTATATCCCTAGTTATGATCAATTAGGATTTGTAATTTCATGATTAATGACTTTAGATCATACTTGCTACTCCATTTGTATAGAAAGAAGGAGGGTTACCCTCTAACTAGATTTTTTTCAATTATTTGGGCAATATATGTTGTAAATCCTTCATTTGGTATCTGCTTTTCTGCAGATCCTTTTTTTTCTGACATGCCTCTTCTCAAGTGTTCCTATCCATGCTTTATTCAATCCCTTGTGCTATGACAAGGTGATTGGAAAATTATAAATCACCAGACAAAAGTGTGTTCTAGAAAATCCAGTTTAAACATCTATTTTAGGTACGTAGAAGAATCCAGAAATGACAGCAAAAATACAGCAGCCCAACGTGAAGACAGTTCAGTCCAGCAGGTAAGATACCTACAGAGCTGAGGTAAATACTGGCCAACACTGACCTAGGTGAATCAAAGTGAAATCAGTGATCCCTTTATATGGGTTCAGAGAGCTGAAATAGTGTGTAGAATCAGTGAGGCTCCAGCCAAGAGCCGAATGAGCTCTTTGGGAGCTTCTGGAGACAAATGAGACGTCTCCAGAAACTCTCCACCAAGATACTGAACCTGGGAACACGATACAGGAACGTGCCCTAAACTGATTTGTGATTCGAGGTATTTAGCACATACATAACAATGCCCCAAATGAGAAGCCTGTATTTTGCTGTTTTCAGTAATTCTCTGATGTTGTAGGAGGGAAGGGCAGAAGTCAGTCGCTGGAATAAATATCTGGACAAGGAGAGTGAAGATGAGGAAGATGGGGAAGAGACAGCAGGTGCAGAAAGGCAACAGTTCTGTTCCTGGGGAAGGAACACTGTGGAGGAACAAAGGTACAGAAAGAAGGTTTTTGTAATTCCTGCCCCTGAGTGGTGACATTGGGTTTGGAGGTGTGGGAGGTCGTTCATCTCTGATTGCTGAACAAAGTACAGGTCACAGTGTACAACCTGACCTGAGCAGGGATTTGTTATTTGAGGGTAAAACTCTCTTATTGCTGGAGCCATGCGTTTGATGAACATTTCTGCTGACAGGTGAAAAAAATTCAGAGGGAAGCTAATCTGTCCTCTTTGTGAATGGTTTTCTTGGCCAGGAAACAGCAGAAGAGCTTCCTCTCCAGCGATGTTCAGGAGTATGCAGAGGAAAATGGAGTTTTCCAGCTTGCCTACCGAGCCAGAAAGGTTAAAATCTCTGAAGTCTTTTAGTTGCAGAAGATACTTCTTACCAGTAAAACAAAACAGTGTTCTCCTGACCTCTTTTGTGTCATCATTTTGAATTTTTATGAGTCTTCCTCTATACTTCTATTTGAAAGTCTGGGGAGGAGAAGAAAATTGTGTCAGGAGTTTCTCTCTGAAAGGTTTTAGTCAGGCAAAAACAATGCCACCTTGTGTAAGCAGAGTGGTTGAGCTGGATTCCTCCATCAGCACAGCTGCAATCTATGCTGCTTTGCTTTCCTGAGCAGTGGCACCTGTGTAGTGTGTGGTTATTCAGGCTACTGTGGTTACAGTGAAGTTGCCCTGAGTCCTTACAGCCCAGAGTTCATAGACCCACCCCATGCATCAGCCTCAGCTCTGCCTCAGAGGGCTGGTGTGAACTTTGGGTGCATTTGAAGGACCTGAGTGTTCTTTCTTTGCCTGCTTCTGTGCAGCTTGGCTGTATGTGCTGCATTTATAACCAAGCTCTTTCTCCTTACAGCGCAAGAAATGTTCAGTAGCAGTGGCTGATGAAGATGATGAAGATGCTGTTTCTGGAGACAGTATGGTTCCTGCTGCCTGTGAGTCCATAGTGTCTGAGGAGAATGCACAGACCCCAACTGCTTGTACCAAACCCTCAAAGTGGAAAAAATTTCTCCCATGTTCTTACAACTACAGCAAAAATGCTGCCAGGGTCACCTTGTCACCACAGGAGGGCAGTGGAAGGTTGGGGCTGCACAGCACCACTGCAGCAGATGCTGGTGTGGCCAGTAGATGCTCAGAACAGGCTGGAAGAACTCTACCTCAAGGTACAGGTTTTGAATTGAAAAAGTATGTTGCTAGCACTGAGCACCTTGCTTCAAAACTGCCTGGCACTGTTGTGCCCAGCACCAGTTGCTCAGCTGAGGAGGGTGTGTTGTTCAAAGAACCTCAAAGCCAACTGATAAGGGCAGGATCTGATCTCTTAGAGGCCACTGCAGGATGGTGCTGTTTGGATAGCCCAAGGAGAGCAAACAGCCTTGTTAATAGTAACACTGGGCCAAAGCCCATTAGTGTTTCTTGTGAACACCTCTTCTGCACAGGTGAGGAGTTTGATGATGATCTCTGAGAAGTTCAGGCATCTTTGGCATTGCTTTATTGATTGTCTCTATCATGTATTTGGTATGTTGAGTTCTGAGGCAAAGATTTTGACCTGGTAGCTTTACTCTAAGCCTTACAGAATTGCACTATTAAAGTTGTTTACTTGCTCTGTGGCTGTGTTGGGGGAAGGATATGAGGGTGGAAGAGCCAGTTGCAGTGGGCAAGTACTAGAGTTACAGAGTGTTGTCTAGCAACCTCATCAGCTAGAAATAAGAATAGAAGTAGGTCAGCTTGGGGGGAGAAAGCCCTAAGGATTCCTGGCCAGTACAATTAAA